TAAAAAGGAAGATAGCATTTGGAATAACACAGTGGTTGAAGACCATGTTTGTAGGAAAGAACAAAAGTAGTCACTCTAGTCCTCAAAAACAAAACAAAACAAAACAAAAAAAAACAACCCAAACCCTTAGTAGGTTACTTTGACGCTGATGGCTAAACATTCCATAATGTTTTTATTCTGATTTCAGTATGTTATAAATGCAGCAAAATCTGTGAGTTGGGCTGTAACTACTGTGAGGAACTTTTCTTGCTTTACAGAAACTTTGATGTTAGGGTATCAGTGCGCATAAAGATTCCCATGGAGCCATTTGCTTCATCTTGTTAGAGTGATGAGAAACTATTTGTGACCAGTCTTGCTTAGATCAGCATTATAGAACTACAAGTTAATCACTTCGTATAATTCAAATATTTATGCAGCTCTACTTATGTTATTTTTTTCAGCATTGCTTCATATCATAATTTGCTTTCTAAGCTGTCCAGGCATGATATGACTACTGTTAATTTGCATCCTGGCTTTCCCTAGTTGGATGACACTGGCTATATGGAGCATGTTTAAATAATATACAACACATGAATGAACTCTTGCCACGTCTAAGATATTTACAAGCAAATATATCCCAGTTAACATGAATTGTTGAGGCCAGCTACAGTTTGCCAGTTTCTTTCATTTTGGGTTATTGTTCCAACAACAACTGATTAATTCACTGAAAAGTTCTTTCAACACATTCTTATTTCATTGCAATTTTGATTTAAACACCTTCCCTCTTCATATTAAAGCAGTCATATATCCTCCTCCTTCTGTTCAATATAAGAAGGAAATAGCTGCTTTCACTCATAAGTGAGAGGGACCCACTTAGACTTTATCACCAGTTCAAAGATTCTCAGCCTTCCATCCTTCCGGGGTAGGTAAAATGAGGACCCAGATTGTTGGGGGTAATGTAAATATATATATACATTGCTTACTGGTGTACACTGCTTAGAGAGTGCTTGCACTTAAAGCGGTATATAAGTCTCATAAATAAATAAATAAAGGTGGGTTTTTTTCAAAGCAATTCAGGAACCATATAATAAAAAGAACAAAGGATTATTCTCAACTATTAAGAATCTTTAGCTCTTTTTAAGTGCTTATTTCTACAGTATATGTTGTTTTATTACAAGAATTGCTTTTCAAAATTTAGCTGACACCTATCCATTGCCTCAAGACACCATGCTTGATAGCAAAACACTGTTTTACTGTGGTGTGTTATATGATGTATAATATTGCAATACATTTTGGGGGAAAATCTCTGAAGTTGGTGTGGCAGGATTTAGTACGTTGCAACAGCTCTCTGCCTAATTTTTTATTTTGACTGATAAAGTTATTTGTACGAGTAACAAAATGTCTCAGATGAACAAACTTTGGTCTAGTTGCCATGACTTAACTTTTTTAGATTCTTTTGGTTTGGATTATTGAGTCTTCATTTACATGAAGCCAAAATTTGATACTGAACTAAGTGAGGGGAAACAAGCTGAAATTAAATTCACACAAAAAAGATATTGTAGTAATTAAGAAATAGGGTTCTGGTATCTGAGATTTAGACTATTTTGAATAGCATTGTACTTTCCATGGAACAGCAATTTCACACACTGGGGGTCCGCCTAGTTCCTTGGCTGTCACTGGATTTGAAGATGGTGTCTATGATTAATAGTGAATTTGCATAATTACTTCCCACATGATAAGAAATGAGTCAGTTTTTATCTATTTATTTATATCCTTTCTAGATTACCACAACATGTTACACATAGACTATCCTTGAAAAGTGTTTAGAAGCTGCAGTTGGTACAAGAGAAGCAGCCAGGATGGAAGCTTTCTGAAAAATTTTTCTGTTCTGAAAAATCTATGGTTTGCCACTTGCCTATTAGGCAAAATTTAAAATGTTTGTAATTCCCTTTAAAATCCTAAATTGTTCGCGATGATCAAAAGAATCACATTTCTGTTACTTAACTGAGTGGCTACTAAAATCTCCAGGAAAGGCCCTTTAGAAATTAACTTTCTGTCAAAAAGAGTTGTATTGGGCCTCCGATGTTTCAGGGTTTAGAAAATCTATAAAGACACTTTTGTCATATTTTAAATTCAGAAAATGATTTAGGAACTATGTTATTGTTCATTTTAAATTGTTTTCTGAACTATATTCTTTAAAAAATATTGTTAGATATCTTTAATACTGAATAGTATTAAATAGTAGAAAACTGAATAAAATAAAAATAATAAAATAAAATAAAAATGAATTACAATATATTACTACTTAGGGGCTAAGCCAAGTATCATTTATATTAAAAATAGCATTTTGTGTTTCATAGCATTAGAACTATTTAATGCTTAGTAACTGACTATGTCCATAACTTAAAATAAATAAAATGAAATATCTTCACAGATAATAGAGCTGCACAAAATATTTATACAAATTGAAATTAAAATTAACATGGCCTGAATTTTTCTACAAAATTACAGATCTAATGAAAAGCATTCCATGTTTTCTTCCTAAAATTAGCTGCAGTGAAATCAGAGAAAATGCACACTCTGCAGGTATATTTAAAGCACAGTGCCTATTTAGGACAGTCTGCTACACTGCACATACTGAAATTTTCCTCCTGTAATAATGAGATACAAATGACTCTCACTTTTATATTTCACAGCTATAATCAACACACACACACACACACACACACACACACAAATAAGCTCTAGTTCCCAAACATGTACTTGAGCCATTTACATGGGAGTGAAGCAAAAAACAAAGTAACAAACAGGATACCTCTATTATTAAGAATTTTAGTATCTGCAAAATGAGAAATATAAGGGATCAAAAGAGCACCAGATGTAAAGAGATAAATATTCTCATTATTTACCATAATAATTCTTTTTTGGCTAATGCATACACACAGAGACTTTAATTAAATAAAACTCTTAACTGCTTAAAGACAGACAACTATAATATATTCCCACAATCTTCTCTTCTCCTGACTAAACATACCCAGTACCACCAACTGTTAACTGGTACTTCCAATAGTAACTGGAGATTCTTCCAGGTCCCTTTCTGTCTTGATTGCTATTCTCTGGACATGTTTCAATTTTTCAATTGCTTTCTAAAATGTGGGCCCAAACTAAATGCAAATTTTATTTATTTTTTGAGAAAAAATTAATTTTCTTTATAGTAGCTGTAAATTAAATATATGAGCCAGGAAATCTTCAAAATGATAAGTCTTTTCCAATTGGTACAAGGAGATAAAAATTAGAAATGTGAAAGCTCTATTTTCTCTGAAATTTATACAATAAAGCAATTGTGTAATAAAACAAGTAAATAGATTTGCTAAAGAAGACTTTAGTTATAACAAATTAATATCTTATGATTTTAGTGCCAGCCTATTTGACTGTTAAAACACATAATTGTACTTTTCTGGTCTATGATATGCCTGAGTCTTGCTTTTCCAATGTCCAAAAGCTATTCCATACTATGCTCAACTCCAAATTGTAATACAGAAGTAGGATATTTTAAAGCAACATTATTACGCAGCTATTTGGCTGCAAAAAGAACTTCAAATATAAAATTTTGAACCTGACTGGCGTTTTCTATATAAAAAGCAGTTAAGATTATCCTAATCAAAGTACAATATTACTTGCAAACCATTCAAATAATTATTAACAGAAATTTAAACCACCAGGTGTTAAGAAATATGTATGAGCTTAAAACTGAATAAAAAATCAATAACAAAAGAAATAGTATAGCTAGATCATTTTCATAATGCGATGCCTTTAATTATGTTCTTCCAAACTTTTGTGGCTTATGATTAAAATGCTGAACTATTTAATTGTTTATGTATGGTTGAGAAAAGCAGGTTTAACAGCATGATAAATCATTCCAAATTTAATTTACATATACACTGATTCAAATATAGGTAATTGGGTTGTGAAAATCTTCTGTGGGTGAGCCATTCAAACAAGAACAAAAAATGTGCATGGAAATTCAGATCACATGGCAGGAAGGGATCTTGAAAGCAATAATTCTTGTATCCTCTTAGACAAATGGCTAATCGACCTCTTCTTAAAAATCTCCATGATGGAGAACTCCTGACGTTCCATTGCTTACTAGCAATTATGTCAGGAAATTCCTCATTTCAGATGGAATCACCCTCTGTGAATTCCACCCATTCTTGTTCTATTCTAGATAACTAAGATAGATCCATCTATTTGCTAAAGTAAATATTATACTAATTGGGGCTTGACTGAATTCAAAGATTAGTTAACAAATTATACATGGACTCAGAATCCATTTCATATTTTTGATGTATTCCTTTGATCGTGACTTGGATAAAAAATCTCTTTGGATTATTCTGAGCTGTACTGGCAGTACTCTCAAATTCTCTCTGCTGTAGCAGATGGCACAGGAACATGGTCAAGAAGTGGGAAACTATTTGAAATGTAAAGCCTACAGTTTCCCTGTAAACTAGCCATTGGGCTGCACCCCACAGGCACAAGGACATCATATATAGCACATGCACAAAGCAAGAAATAATCTAAAATACAAAATAAAAATTACAGCACAAATTCTGCTCTGCTGAAATTTATTATTTTTAATCACCTGATTTACAAGAACGAATTCTTAAATGTGTGTGCATTATTGCTAGGCAGCTGTTCTGCCTTTGTATTCTACAGGCCAATTTATTTGCAGCACTTCGTAAATCACAACATTATTGGTCATTCTGATAATAATTGTCTAATGGATGTTGATACAAGAGATTTTTTTGAGGGCAGTCATTGTGTCTTTTAAGAATACACAATTCTCTTCACATAACTCTCCAGCTCCAGCTTAGTTTTTATTGCCATTGTTTTTAATGCTCCCTAACCTATAACTACTGATCCCAATATCTTCATATTTGAAAATTAATTGCCCTGAATAACTTTTCCAAACTTCTGTAGTAATTTGACATTCTTGACTTTTGTATATAAAAAGGAGGTTTTACCTGTCTGCATCCACTGTCACATCATGAATTCCTTTTTGTATGACATCTCGAGAGGCAGCTATATCAGGAATTCGATTCAAGCTTCTTGTGTATAGATTGAGCCCTCCATCAGTCATGTAACTAAAAATAATACATATAAAAATGAATTAGTAGGAAAGTGTTGAGTTCTTCGTTCGCGTGCGAATGATGAAGACACATGGTGACAAGTAACAAACACTTTATTCTCTTTCTCCAACACCCAAGCAAAGGAACAAAAGGCACGCAGACCTTTATAGGGCCCGAGAGCCCGGCAGTGTTAACCAATAGGAATTTAGCCTGTTCGTGCTTTGCGCATGCGCACAAGGCTGACGCCTCTCTGTCTGGTCCCGGGCAGCTTTTAGGATGCCCGGGACCATTTGCAACATTTCTGGGCCTGCTCAGTTTCCTCAACAGACCCAAGACACAACACCCCTCCCCCCTAGAAAGAACACACACAGACTTCCAATTTCTTTTACAATCATCATAATAAAATAATATATAAGGAAAAAAAATAATATTCCTGCTCACACGCAGGCAACATACTTTTAAAATAATAAGGTTCTCTAAACAACCCACCCCTTGAGGTGGACCTCCTGTGTCTATCTACTACCCCACATAGGTCCAACTCCTAACCTAGACTGGTGAGATTTCCTTGTGCTGACAGGAACCTCACATATTCACCTAGGTGCTTAGGAGGGGCCTTAGCCTTTTGTGACCTATACAAGGTCAGGGAGGGAGCCTGTCAGCTCACCTGCCCGGCTAGTCAGACCAGGACTTGTACTTAAGGGCACCTGGCCTACCAGCCCATATGGTGGGCTCGCTAGACCAGGACTTTTATGCACAAATTTTTCAGGTGACCCCTGGTGAGGCGTACTGGCAGAGTTGCCAAGGCTCTTCCCAGGCTCCATTAGAGCAGCTGAAATTCCCCAACCCTCTGGAGTGGCTAAGGACTCTCCAACTACCCTGGATGGCTCCAGGGAACTTAGTCCCTCGAGCCTGTGACCAGTTTCAGACATGACCTGCATTGCAGGAGTGCCCCAATGCTCCCAATCCCCTGTGGCCATGGTGCCAGAGTCAGGAGCCACCTCTATGGCAAACCCCTCCTCAGGAGAATTCCTGTTTGGAGCTCTTGCAGATACGCTGGCCACCCCTTGGGATGACTTCCCTTTGGGAGCAATTGCTGATGCGCCGGACTCTCTGTTCGGCATAATATCTGAATTGGGAGGATGCCATTGCTCCTGCACTGTGAAATCCCTAGCAACCTACAGTACTTCCCAGGAACAGTGAGGCTGGGTCTCACAATGTTGACCTGAAGTGTGACATAGTTCCTGGGCCCCCTCCCCCCGAGAGCGGATGCCGGGGCGGAATCCACAGAGGAAAACTGCCAGTGCAGTTGATCGATGTGGCGCTGCAGAACGCGGCCCTCTTCCATGGTCACTTCGTATCATAGAGGTCCAGAGATCTTACAGATGACAGCAGGAACCCAGAGATGTCCAGGACCATAGTTCCTAGCGCAGACCAGATCGCCCACCTGAAGTCTCCGGGGAGCCCGTGGCTGTGACACCTGAGAAGACACTCGGTCGGGATGCAGTCTGTCTAACTTTGTAATGAGGCGGTGGCCCCAGCAGAGTTCAGCTGGGCTCTTCCCAGTGGCAGTGCAAGGTGTGGTGCGGTGTACAAGAAAGAATAACCTGTGTGTTGTGATTCCGTGCCAGCCTGTACTCCCAACAGCTGAGTCGGAGGAATCTGAGGAGGAGGTGGAGGAGGCATTTGGGGGGCCATCAGAGACAGAGGGAGACTCTGAAGTATAGGACTCACAGTTGGATGCAGAGCCTGAGCCCTCCAGTCATGTTTCTGATCAAGCTCAGCTGGGTGAGGAGCATGAATTAGACTTCAAAGAATCACAACAGATGGACTTGTTAATTGACGCACGCAGGTGGCGTCAATTAGCCAGAGTAAGGCAACAGAGGTCAATGAAGCACCTCCAAAGTAAGAAGAAACGGCAAGGGGAGGCACCACCTTATGACTGCTAATTAAAGGGAGGAGGTGTGGGTGGTGCTGGTTGCTGAAGACAACCGTTTGAAAACCGCGTCTTGGAATCTTGATCTGTGACTTCTCTTGTGATTTCTTGTTTGTTTTTCATCGTGCTCTTTTGGACTTAAGTTTGCTGTATTTGACAGGTTTGTCTACAATATTAAAAGGGGGTTTTGTTTTTGTTTGCAAGTCTCCAGCCTATTGCAGCAGCAGGGGTTTGGTTCTTGTGAAGTTAACAAGGATGGCAATAGGCCAGAACAAAACACTGTGATGCCAGTTACTGTAAGTCAGTTTCTTGAGAGCATCTTTGGTAGTGCGCACCATTCTCTCTGCCAGTCCGTTGGAAGATGGATGGAAGGGAGCAGAAGTCGCATGCTGGATCAAGTTGGCCTGAAGAAAAGCCTGGAACTCAAAAGAGGTAAATTGAGGGCCATTATCTGAAACCAGGACATCTGGAAGCCCATGTGATGCAAAAATTCCTCTCAACACCTGGATGGTCCTGGCAGTAGTAGTGGAGGAAACAGGAACAACCTCTAGTCACTTGGAATGGCTATCAACAACAACTAGGAAGAATTGCCCCTGAACGGGCCCAGTGTAATCTATATGCACCCATGGTTTGAGTTTCCTCCCACTTATGTACTGGGGCCTGAGGCATTTCAAGCCGTGACTGTTGGCACAGTTGGCACCCATGCATCTGAGCCTCGATGGCTTTATTGAGCCCAGGCCACCAAAGATGGCTGCGTGCAAGCACTTTCATCCTTACTATACCAGGATGTCCCTCATGCAGACAGAGCAAGACTCTAGACCTCAGTGAGGCTGGGATTACTACCCTTGAAAATGGAAAACTTATGCTTCTTGTTCCAGAAGCTTTGGAACTCAGTATCTGGGCACTTGTCAGGCTATCCTGACAACACCCAAGTCAGCACGCATGTAAGCGTGTGATCAGTGGCAGTTTCTGCAGCCACGTCCCTAGCATTCATGGGAGATTCAGGTAACTCCTGAATGGAAAGAATATTAATGGCAGGAGCAGGGTCTGCCTCTATCTGTTTCAGAGGTAATCTGCTTAGGCCATCTGCATGACCCACCTCCTTTCCAGGGTTATGAACTAGAGTGTAGTCATATGTTGACAGGAAAATGGACCACCTCAGCATACGAGGAGAAATGATATGTGGTGTCTGTTTGTTAGTGGTAAACAAACCCAGCAGAGGCTTATGGTCTGTATAGACCGTGAAGTGGCAGCCATATAAGAAATCATGGAATTTCTTTATGCCAGCCACTATGGCCAAGGCTTCTCTGTCAATCTGAGCGTAATTCTGCTCTGCAGATGACAAAGTCCTTGAGTAATAGGCCACAGGGACTTGTGTCCCATCAGCCTTCAGATGGCTAAGTACTGCTCCCACCCCATAAGGAGATGCCTCGCATGCGATGCAAACAGGCAATTACTCATTGAAATGTGCTAAAACAGCATTTGAAGTGAGCAAGGCCTTAATCTCATTGAAACTCCTGTCATGGATTTTGGTCTACTGCCATGGAGCCTGCTTGTCTAAGAGCCTGTGTAACGGCTCTGCCACTGCAGCCTTATGTGGGAGAAATGCATGGTAAAAATTTAAGAGCCCCAAGAAGGCTTGCAGCTCACTCTTAGATTTGGGGCTTGGGGCCTGCTGAATAGCTTGCAATTTGGATTCATCAGGGTGAATGCCTTGGGCATCAATCCTGAACCCTAAGAAGTCAGTGGAAGTGACTCCTATCTTGCATTTATCCTGTTTTAATTTAAGGCCTGCTTTTTGAAAATGAATCAAGACAGCCCTTAGCCTTTCTGCTAAATTTTGAGATGACTCCCCAGCAATGAGGACGTCATCAAAGTAGGGACAGACCCCAGGAATACCTCGAAGTGTGCTCTCCATGACACTTTGGAATATGCCAGGGGCTACATTTACCCCAAATTGCAGTCCTTTGACCTTGAAGGCCCCCCTGTGAGTTACAATAGTCTGGGCCTCTGCAGATGCCTTATCAACAGGTAGCTGTGCACTTATAGTCTGCACATATACGGATTTCCCCATTAGCCTTTAGAGGCATTACTATGGGGGTTTCCCATGGACTAGAATCCACAGGTTCTAAAATACCCTGCTGGAGCAATTTGTCCAGCTCAACATCTATCTTATCCTTGAGGGCAAAAGGTACCCTCCTAGGCTTGACCGGGATGGGTTTGATGGTTGGGTCTAACCATAGTGCAATGGGAGTCCCCTTGTAGGAGCCTAGCTCTGAACTAAACACATCTGCAAACTCCTTGCAAACCTCTGCAAGACCCAGCGTTTGCAAGTTGTGCAGCCCAGTTACTTGGATTCCCAGAGCCTTGAACCAATCAACTCCAATAAGACTCATATGTTCACCCCCAACGACCACCACATCCAAGAAACCTTCAAAATCCTTATGCTGTACCTTGAGGTTGGCCTCCCCCTTCACACAGACCTTAGAATTTTGAAAATCAGTGAGTATTAGGTTCGATGGCCTGAGTTTAACTCGAAGGCCACTACTGCTGCAAATCCTTTTGAAGGTATTAATTAAAAAAATTGAAAGAGCGGACCCTGTGTCCAACTCCATCGATAAAGGAACTCCTTGCAACCTCGTGTTAATGCGAAGTTTCTTTTTAAGGGGCTTGTGTGTCCCTGTCCTAAGAATACTCCCGCGCGATGCGCAGAAGCCCACCCTGTTTTGGCTGGGGACCCTGGTACCTTTCTGAAGCAATTCTTCCCGAGGTTAGACCTTCTGGCGACCCAAGCATACAGAGGCAATGTGGCCTTGCCTGCCACACGCCCTGTAAATGGCGGAGCGAAACTTGCAGTCAGCTCGCTTGTGACATCCTCCGCACCTGAAGCACTGAAGAGATGCTGGATGCCCCTTCGGCTTCCTCTCAGCTGGCTGGTGAAGTCTGTCCACCTCCTCTTCAGGATCCGCTTCTGATCCTTCTCAAGCATCCTTTTGATGGATGGTAGCTGTGACTGGAGGGTTCCTGGCGAGCCGCAAAGCCTTCACAGCCCTGCCTGCTGCTTCCTCAGCTAACGCGTCTT